CTGCAGTTCACTTGCCTTCAACTTTGAACATTATTGCCTGAGATTAAACAGTACACCTCCCTCCCCTGTAACAGCTGTAGTTTCCATGGCATTCTGCCCTTACATAGATTACTTGTGAATTTTAAGATTCACAATTGAATTTAAGCCATGGTTTTCATATGAAGAGCACTACACATTCAAACACTACTGCACTGCCAGTTCCAAATGACTGTCATTTACCAGTATCCAGTGAGAACCCAAACACAGCAGCCAAAGCTTCTTGCTGCCTAAATCTAGCCCAGATTACCAGCAGACAGCACAAGCAGTACTCCAGCAGGTGATTTAACAGGTATGTGGCTCTATATATAAACACAGCAGCTCTGCACTGAGCCATTCTCCACTCCAAGCAGCTCTAGTTTATCAAACCCACAAGCCATTCAACAGTCCCAGAAAACTTTGGATGCCTCACAGCTCCTCTTCCACCAGCTCCAGGTTACTTCTAAGTGGGCAGAACAGCAGCAGGAGGGGAGAAAGAGGAACTTGTATGGATGAATACTGCAGTTCTGGTAACAAGCTGCTGGAAATTTGAGTTTAGCTTAAATTTTGCATGAAAAGTAATTATATGCACTTCTGAAATGTACGTACAAAAAAATACAAATGTATTTCCAGCTAAACAGGCACCAAACAAGATGCCCATTAGCTCAGCCAACAATAATGAACAAATTCATGACAGGAAGAAGAGTTGGCTCTCCTTGTAGCCCACTGTGTACCTGCCCCAAGTGCAGAGAGTGCAAGGTTTGCAGGAGTCTATCCCTTGGTAGGTAAAGGTCTGCTCTGATCTGTTTTGTCATTAAAAGATCTAAGAAAACTCATCCTTAACATTTAATGACAAGCCACCATCACTATTAATTGTTCTTCCCTAAAGCAAACAAACCCCAAGAACACCCAGACTATTATATTATTATTATTTTTCCACCTATTGCATCCAGCATTGGACATTTAAAAAAAAAAACAAAAACATGCCTCACATTGCCAAGTTATCTCCAGCTCCATACCAGTCACAATGCTCCTCAATAACAGCTAGCATTTTTACTGAAAAATTCTGTTCTTAACAACACATTCTGTGTTCAGAGTCAACCTGTCCAGGTTATTAGGCAAAACAAGATTTACCTCAACAGATGTAAAAATTTTTCTCATCTTATTTGACTTAACACACCACTTAAGATTAGACTAGGTGAAATAATTTACACTGCTTCAGGAACAGCTACATAATCCATATGGATACACACATAACCACATTATCACTGTCAGACACACCATGCCAGAACTTCCACTGACTTCATCATGAAAAATGTGTGTTCCTACACATTAGCCTTTCAAACTTCAGCACATAAACACCAGCCACATTTGAAACATCTAAATGTATTCTTCACACATCTATAATGTGCTTGCTGATGGTACCTATTTGTTTTGTTTTGTTTAGATGGCAGATGATAAAATTTAATTGCTACTAGTTTAAGTAAACTAAAGTTGCAAACAAGTATCATTACTGCTTCTAAACCATTGATAAGTCAGAATTCCTAAAAACAGATCACACTTCACACTCCTGCACGTAACACTTCTTAGTCAGACCTGCCAAAATTACTGGCATGCCATTACCAAACATAAAATCATACTTACATTTCGATTAAATTTTGTGAAGGAATGATGCATATAAAACCTGTGCATGTAAACAATTGCAGTATTTATGGTAAGCTGAGATCTGGAAGATTAAATGAAGGAAACACTACATATGAAGAAAATCGTCTACAAGAACTGTAAACGATGGGCTTTCCATATCAATCACTGCTCTCAACATATTGTCTTCAGCCGAAAATGGATTAGGGACGTGACGCTTCAGAATTTAACTGATATTAGCACATCTTTAACTGATATCAGCACGTATCGCTCCCATCTGTTTCACAGATCATGTGGAGATTCCTACGCCAGGCTCCCCACGGTCACCCACGGAATGAAAACTCCTCAATGGGCGACACACTGAAACACTCAAGTGCTTTTGTTTTGTTCCAGTTCAACTATTTCAGTAAGGGATTTGAGGGTTTGGCCTTGCTCTGATCGTTTGTTTGGTTTTTTTTTCCTTTATAAAATCACATTAAAGAAGGGCTTAGGAGGAGTTCCCGTTTCGGGGCACACTCGGATTTCCTTTAGAAAAGCCGCAGCGGCGGCCGAGGGCAGGTGGGAGCCGAGTCCCTCAGCGCCGACAAAGAGCGCGGCGCGGGTCCGCCAGGCTCCTCCTCCCATTCTGTGCTCCGGGCCACGGCTCCAGCCCGCGGGAGCGCTCCCGGGGCCGGCTCCCACACGAGGGAAAAGCTCTCCCGCCGCCCCTCCGCGCGCGGCCCCCGCCGCCCTCACGCCCGTCCCGCCCGGCCTCGCTCGGATACACGTTGAGGCGCTGGCCCATGTCTTGGATGAGGTTGGCCGCCTGCTGCCGGTACGAAAGCTCCTTGTCGGCCTCCACGCCGCAGCGCCGCGAGGGCGTGTTCTCCAGCTGCTCGCGGCTGAAGAACCAGCGCGACGCGGCCGAGGAGCCGCCGCCGCCCCGCGCTGCAGACCCCGCGGAGCCCGCGCCCGCCGCCGCCATGACACCTCCTCCTCCTGCTCCTGCGGCGCCGCCTCCCGCCGCCTCCATCGCGCCTCTCGCGAGAGCTCGCGGGCCCGCGCGCGCCTCCCGCCATTGAGTCTCGCGGCGGGGCGGCCGCGCGCCGGGCGGGGTCACGTGGGCCGCGGGGGCTGAGGGCGCGGCCATGGCGGCCGCGGGCTGAGGGCTGTGAGGGGACGGAGCTGTGGGGTCATGGATGGGGCTGCGGGGTCTGGAAGGGACCTCTGCGGCATCCCGGCAGCCCAGCACCGCCACTGTGACCCTCTGAGGCAGGAACCCATCGCCCAGAGCCCGCGTGGGACACCTTGGAGGCATCCAGGGGTGCTGGCTGCACCCCTGCCCTGTAATACCTACCCCACTGCCTGACCACCCTTTAACTGCGTGTCTGTTTCATACCATAGTTCAAATATTTAGTCTAGGTCTGGATGCCTTTATGCGTAAAAAAGTGAAAAAAAAATATAAAAAATGTTAAAAGATAAAAAAGTTCCTTTTTTAAATCACAGAACAGCCTATTGGAGGACGTAGAAAGGGAGGAAAGAAGGAAAGATTTTGAATGCATAACTAGTTCCTAGAAAATTCCTGTCTGCTGGCAATATCAGCTTGTGGACACTTGGGAAATGCACAAGAAAATGATGAATTATTATTATTATGAATTGTGTCATTGCAGATGAATAGGTCCAGCATGCCAGTGATGGAATTCCAGCCGTGGTTTGAGTTTATGGACTCAAAAGTGTTCAAAGTGTGGAAAAAGGTATTTAAAATTCTGATCACCGTGCATGAAGATGAGAGTTCTGCTTGTGTTCAGTACATGCCACTGCCAGCCTGCAGTGGTTTTGTTCACCTGAAGTTCTTTTACAACTTCAGTGCCAATTTTATACACGTAGTTGTAATCTTAGAACTAGACCCGACAGAGTACTGATGAAATATACAGATGTATAATGCAGCACAGGTGTGAATTACTTGTCTGATCTTCCCAAATGTGTATCTTCTTTAAGATCCTGCATGTGCAGAGGAAATTTAACCTCAAAGACTTCTCGTGTAATTAGCTGATCTTGGACTTCATATTTGTGTGTCTGTAACAATCAAGGTACAGTGTTTTACCTTATTGTTTAAATCACTGTGTAAAACTCATGGAGTTTGGGTGTTCAACTTAGATTCTTTATTCCTGCAGTAATTGGTGGAGGATTATTAAGAATGTTCTCATCTGGCTGCAATTAGAATTTTACATTAGCTTCGTTAATGAAATGAAAAGATGGAGGGAAGATTATATATATCCCTGTCTAAAAAATCTTAACATATCAAGAATAGGTAGAATATCATTAAATAATGACGGTGCATAATGAATATGATTTATGCAGGGTATGCACATTAATTAACTCCTATGCAGGGTACTGCAATCACCCATTTAGTCACAGGTTAAAGTAATTAAATACTCTTCTTGCTATTGGAGAGGTTCCAGACCTTGGTCTCCAAAGATGTGACATTGCATTTTCATTAACTTAACTGGTTTCATTCATAAAATATTGAATAATTAATCCAATTAAAATGTATTGTAAGAATCATAATGTATTTTCCTCTTAAAACCATTTAAACATCTGTGAGAATCATGTATACTGAAGGGAAATATGAGAATGAAATTGCCTTTTGACTTTGAAATTTAATTAAAACAATCTGGTTGAAAAATCATACATGCTGAAAACTCAATGCCTGTATATGAATATTTAAATAAAGAAGGTCAACAGTAGTCTTGTGCACCTGAGGACAAGAAATATTGTTGAGGCTATTTTCTGGCTCTTCTTTTCCTCTTACATAAAAAAAAATGATATTGTAAATCTCTGAGCTGCTGACTAATTCAGCTCCAACTACTTCACAAGCCTTTTTTTTTTGGTGGGGGGGGTGGGTTGGGCACTGTAAAGAAGGACAGATCTTTCTTTGTTGTCCAATGGAGGCAAGGCTGGGATCAGCAGGAACTGCTGATGTTCAGCATCCTTCAGGTTCGGCGTGTGACAGCTATGGCCAGAACTAAAAACCACTTCTGTCTAATTCTGTTTTGCCTGGAATGTTCCAAGACTGAGCAGAGGAATAGTGACACCACACATAGCCAGCCAGTGTTCCCCAAGAACAAAGACTAAATGCTAATCCGTGTTTTTCTGACTGCTGCACAGTTCCCCTGGGAGGAGGATGCCTGTGCACTCACTGGATAATAATGAAAACCTGCTTCAATCAATAGTCTATAAAGCAAACCACCTTTCCATTCCTGTAGCAGAACTCAAGCTAGGGAGAGCATTAGCACTTCAACATTTAAACTATTCAGCCTTACTTTTAGGGAGCATTTTGTAAGGAATAGAACATTAACCCATGCTGTTGCCAAACACTAGTATTTATTGTGACAGTGACAGTGACACACCAACTATTACCCACACAAATACATTACTTCTGCACCTACAACCATATTGTTCAAATTGTTTCTGATGAGTAAGTTCCCAGTGCTGTAGGTGGCAGCGAATATGGAAAGTCCCCACACAGACCTTTTCCATCCTGTCACAACATTGACAAAGCACGAGTGCACCTGCAGTGCTGAGCTGAGTGTGGTGGGCTGCATTTTCCACCAGTGGATAAAAGCAAATGTTGCCTTTTATTGGGCATCAACATTGTTTAAATTCTGTTTTAATATTCCTTCAAATTCTGTTTGGCTGTCATAACAAAGAAATGTAGTGAGTACATCATTTTCTCAGCTCTTTCCTTCTTGGGAATCAAGTCCTAATAACTTGGCATTGATTATAATTCAGAGATTCTTAAAACTGCAAAAGATGAAATCTCTCCTATGTAATGAAAGCGGAGATTTTAGAATTGTTTAAAAACAACCTAAATCCTCAGGCAATACCTGAGCATACTCATTTCCAGTAACCTTGCTTTTGCTTTGGAAATAACAGGAAACTGTCAGATAATTGGCAATTTTATTTTTCATGAGCACAATTGCACGTACCAATATAAATGCAAGGCTATTATTTCCAAGGTTTAGCCACCTTAGTACTTCATCATTATTCAAATTGTTTTCTGCTAAGACCCAAAAATTCCAGAGCATTTCCAGCCTTGAGTTTATCCTGTAAAAACAAAACACACAGATATGTTTGTGCTTAGCTCATATTTAACTCAAATGCTTTTACTTGTGCTTTAAAAGGAGCTGCTGCAAAGAGACTGAAGGGTCTCTTCCACTCATTGCAGAAATCAGTGTACTATACTGATTTTTCAGTGGTTTATCTCATGTCTTGAACAGAGACTTAAAAAGGAGGGAAAATTCAAATGTAAAAATCATACCTTCAGTTTATAGTCAAAATCATCCATTGAATCAATCAATTTTCCAGGTTCCAGTTCCCCAAGTGGAAAAGGGTAATCTGTCCCCAAAATAACTTTGTCCTGGCAACAAAATAGAAGTGTACATTTTGTAGTAACATTAAACAATAGAGTTTAAATAATATGGATATTAATATGTACAATATTATAGTAACATTAATATTATATTTTAAACGAATCTCAGGAAGTTCTCCACAAAATTCAGGAAAGATGGTTGGATTAGCAGTCCTGAATTTGAAATTTTTGGCTAAATACATCCACACAAATTTAAAATTATCAATGGGTGCGAAGAACGTGCAATAAGTAATACAAAGCAATAAAAACTATCTTCTCTGTGCTACTTTAAAAGATGTAATAATGGCAATGGGGTACTACTGAAAACATGATACAGTGTAAAAATACTACAAATACATAAAGTTGAAAAAAATATTTAATTTAACTGGTATTCAACTTGAGATAACAAAACCTAAACCTCATTTACAAAGTTGCATATATTTCTGGAAGTCTGCAGCTTTTTTAAAATGTCACTGTCTTTGGCTGGGACTGGATATTAACTGTGGGTTTGAAACATGTACCTGAAAATATGGATGACATAATATGATTTGTTTCTGAAAGCAAGTCAGTGAGAAGAAAATTCAATAAAAATCTGTGTGCAACATTCCTTGTTATCAGAGATGAAAAGAAATGAGCAGATCCTCAATAGGACCACATTGTTACAAGTTCATTTTCTCTCTGGAGTGGAATTTCCCCATTTTGTCAGCCTTGGAGAGGGCATACTGCCAACTCTCTTGATTTTATCAAAAGTCTGTTTTCCTTTACACTTCATCTCCTACAGACAGAAGTATATGAAAAAAACAGAGTTCTTATTAAAAATATATGTTTTGAAATGTCTCATGGATTTGAAATCAAATTGATGAATTTTGGACACTTGTTATAATGTTTGAACTCTGTTACCAGAGTTCAATGCTGAAATAGGGTGAAAAAAAACCACCATTCAGTTATTTTCTGAAATGGTTTGTTTTTCTTTTTGTCAAATGATTTAAAAAAAAATTCTTAATCTCCACTAGATGTCACCCAAAAGTCTCTGAAGGAACCTACACAAATCTTTGCCCAAAATCTTAACAGAAGAGACACATTCTATTGTTCTCTCCTATGTTCTGTCCTGTGTTCTCGTTTATTATAGAAGAATTAACATAAGATTAACATAGGAAAATTTACACCCTCTGTCTAATAAATCCAGTTCTCAGCATAGACTATACAAAATAGATTTGGATATGTGTATTTGAAGCAGCTAAATCTATTATTTTATTAATAATATTAAATACCAAGATGCTTTATTCAGACAAGAAAAACAAATGTAATGTATTTTATGATAAAAAAAAAACTAACTAAAAAACAAACCATACCAAAAAACATACAGGTTTATGAAAGAAAGTGGGTTTTTAAGTAAAAGATAAGGAAACATAGAATTTGTCCATCTGTTTACTAGGGAAGGTCATGTAAGACAGAAAGGTTTGTATATTCTTGTTTACATCTCCTACATACTAAACCAGCTTCAGTTTTGTACCCACCTATAAAATGGGGGTTCCTATACCTGTCTTTAGCAAACAGCTTCAGAGGAGTGCTGTGAAGTCTCTGCAGATGAATAATGCTCCTAAGCATAAGGGAAGTACTGTTATATTCTTCCAAACCATATCAACAAAGTCAATTTTCCCTAGAAGACTTGGAGGTCATTTCCTTAATTAGCACATCTCTCCTATTAGAGAGGTACATGGGGCTAATGATTAACCTCAGTGGACCCTGCTACTCAGCACAAATTTCTTCACAGTAATAAGGGCCTACATCTGAAAATGAATCTCAGAAAGCTTTAAGCATGACTTCATCCTCTTACATAAGGAAAAATTGTATTTGCCTTGAATTTCGCCTTTTTTCCTACTGCCATGATGCACTTGAAGAAAAGTCCAGAACACTGTGGTCAGTTCAGCTCCAGCTTCTGGCCAGACAATGCTTTGCCTTTGGATGATGACTCTGGAGGAATCACCGTGGGTAAGTTTTTGCAGAGATGCACTGAATCATTTAATCCCATGTCAACCCAGTTCTTCACTTTTTACAGCCAGCAACATTGGGGATTTTGTGTTTATTTGTATTCACCTCATGCTACCTCGTCATGGTGGGAGCAAAGGACTGCAGCCATTCTGCACTCTTACAAGATTCTTTCTCAGGAGTGTGTATTTCTGCTTCCATCCCCAATTAACCTGCACCCCAAACTAAGAAGAGAGGAGATTAAATGGACACGACTCATCACAGCTGTCAGTGGATTTTAACTTTGATCAGCTCAAGGCCAGCACACCACACGCTGGTGCCAGGCAGTGCCTGCTCCCCAGGGACCCAAAGCCATGTCCAGCACATCTTCTCTCACGCTGATCCCTTCCTGCACAGCTCTGAGCTGTTCTCTGGAGACCTGGCCTATTTCAAACCTCCAGCTCACAAAGTTACCGTGTCAGCCTCAAGACTCCATCACATTGTTTTTAGCCCAGCATTTATTAATCTTATATATGTTACTCTGCCAACACACATCTGCACTGAAAGCGCTGAGATATTTGGTGTTTCTTTAAGTATTTGACTCATGGAAGGGTGTTATGTGAGAATGTCAACTTTCCTTAGAAAAAGAGGGAACTTTTTAATCTTCATGGTTATAAAGTTTGAAATAGTGATGTGAACGTTTTTGTTTTCAAGGACAAGATGCCTTAGGCTATTGAAAAGAGAAAGAAAGTTCTCCTGAGTGTAAAAAACATATTTTTGGTGTCTGACTCATGACTTTTCAGCACTGAGATTGCACCTGATGTCACATTGTTTTAGCTCAAAATACTCAGAGGAGAATTAGACATCAACATCCTGGGTACTATGCTGGCTAAAATTATTGTGTTAAGACTCTTAATTTTAATAGTCTGTTGACAAAATAAATAAGACACCAGAGAGGCTAATGCTGAGTGACTTTTAGGTTATCAAATTACAGTCCATAATCTTTCTCTTCTGAAAATTACAGTTGCAAAGACTAATTACTGTTAAGGACCAGAGTCTATGTGTAGCTTCTTAGGATGAAAAGTAGAGAAATTAAAGTGTGGTGCAGACAGCAGCTTTCCCACAACAACAATAGTTTAGAAGAGCCTTGAGATGCAAAACTTCTGACTCTAAAGCAGAAGTGCCCCAAGACCTGTGTGCTACAAGTTCAGACAGAAAAAAACTTCAATTCTTCAGCAATGGATTCAGCATCCTGTTGTACTTTCTGTCCTGCTTTGCTCTTGACATCTACAGTTCAGCTTAACAGATCACAAAAAGAATCTGTGGTCTCAGCCAGCCTGAGTCACACAGCTGCTAATTTACCAAAGTCTTTCTAACAATGGCAAAACACCTTCCAACATTTTAAAATGGATAAAAAGAAACAAGTGAGTGATCTTTTCTCCTTGCGCTGGCAATTTAAAATTCAAGAGCTAGACTCATCCTTGTGTACTAGAACTGCATGTACAATGAAAATATACTTAGAATGAACATGGTCTGGATTTGGGGAGATTTCTCAGAAAAGGAGGTAACAGAGGCAAGTGTTGAACTGTTACTCCATAAATCTTTGGGTGCCTTGTAGAACAGATGTGCACATCACACAGAATAAAATTTTTAACGTCTATTGTAAAAAAACACCTTAAAGCCACTTGCTTTAAGATACAGTTAGATTCAAAAGATAATACATCTCAAAAACTACTGGGCTGTGGACCATGCTTTGTTTGCTATTTAGAGGTTGGCAACAGAAAATAAAAGAAATCAGTATTGGGCAGGAGCCCTAGAATTTTATTAGTAACCCATCTGGTGCCTAAACTTAATCTCTGGCACAGAGATGGCAAATGCCACCTTAGTCAACACCCACTGATGTTATCAGAACTTTCCAGTACTAACACCTTATTCCAGATTTTTTTTTTTTTTTAGTAAATGTCTCCACTCCTTAGAGCTGCAGTGTTACTGTTACTGTATTGTACAAAGATATACATGTTACAAAAGTTTCCCTACTATTGTTTCAAGCTGTAGTTGTGCTGTCACATGGATTTTCCATGAATCTTCAAATGCCAAGTTTTCCTAAAAGGCACAAGTCCTGCAGGGGAGCTGCAGGCAGAACTCCAGTCACAAAGCTACAGACTTCAGGTGCAGTATGAACTGAAAACCCTCAGATTTTAAAGTGTGATACCTGCAATAAAGAAAGCAATAGTGCTGCATTGCTATTTTTGCCTGGCCTAGCCAAGTCACTTCTGTACCAGTTCTAGAGCAGATTTATTGCAGTAACCTGTTCAGACTATTAGAAATGGGAAATCAACAGATTCTTTTTTGTGGAAAAAAGCCCCAGTCAGCTGAGTGGTTATTTGTGAACTTTGGTCATACAGGAGGCCCTGTTGACACCAACCATGTGAGTCTAGACACTGATGTACAGGAAACAGGACTGCAGCTGTTGAGACAAGAAAATCCCTGTCAGAGCTTGCCTTTCTGATTTGACATCTGGGAGGTATCTGCCTCTGGCTGCAGACACTGTGAGGTGCAGAGATCAAGGCACAAAGATAGGTATCTTGTTGATTTGCAGTGATCCATTGGAAGCTGGCATGAGGGATGCCATCTGCAATCCTTTTTTGAGCATTTACTAAATGAGAAAGGATTATTTGAATGCTTTAAGATTTTTCTGTCCCATGCTGTACCTCATTTAAATGGTTTACTAAACTACAAACATTTCTTTACAAACAACTAAAATACTTCTGCAAACCCATAATGTTTAATTGTCTCTCTGAGGTACTCACAAAAGCTTTCTTTATTACTGATTTTTATTCTGTATATAACTTCCCAAGTGGAAATACAATTTGATTTTTTCAAGCATGCACTTGAATTTGAAAATTAAGCCATTAGAAAACCAGACTCCAAATTGAAGTATTCTTTGCTTGAAGTCCCATCCTGAACAAGCTCAGAGAAGGATGGAGCTAAGGTTGAAAGTTCATGATTTCCTGGATTAAACCCACCATTTTAATAAATCCATATGGTACAAGCATTATCAACATGGCAGAAGCCCATAAATTTATTTCACTGGGTGACATTATCTTCTTCCTGCTTTCTTCTTCTCTTCACCTTTCGCTATTTTCTGGAAAATTAACTGAAGAATTACTCACCCACTTTTGGAAGCTCTAAAACTCACCTCTCCTATTACACTTGTTAGCAGCCTTAGTGCCCCATGGTCGTGGACAAGACTGTCTGTGTAAAATGAGCCAAGGTATTTTCTTGGATCCACCTTATTATCCATGGCACACAAATCAGGGCGCACGTTGAATCCATGGGAGATTCGACCCACCGTGTATGGAAAAGCTCCACCTGCAAGAAGGAATTTTTAATAACTTTCAATAAGCTGGAAATATGTGAAAAAAGGGGAGAAAGCCACCTTATCATCAAAGATCCATAAGTTTTCCTGTCAGCTATTTAGAAAGAAAGTGCTTTGCACCAGTGGTTTTTTTATTCCTTTACCTTCATTAGCTTCTTTCTCCATTTTTCTCACTTCTTCACTACTGTAATGCCCAGATTCCTCCTGCTGCTTCCTCTTCCCTTTCCTTAAACCACCTGCTGCCTCCCCTTCCCTTTTGTTTTCCCTTAACTGTTGTACCAGTTCAAGCCCTGCAGGCTAGAGAGTGATAATAAAAGCAGCTGATCTCCCAGACTGTCTTCTGTGGGGTGACAGTGCTGGTGGCAGGCTTCACATGGTGACCCCATTAGGTGAGATACCAGAAAATACAACTGTACCATGCTCAGCCAAAGAACAGGAGTTTCGTGTGGTACACTACTCACCTCCATGTGCAAAGCAAACTTTCAGCTTAGGGAATTTTTCAAAAATTCCTCCCATAATCATGGAGCAAATGGCCACGGTTGTTTCTGTTGGCATGCCTAAGAAGAACAACATCATAATTGTATAAGAGCTTTACTTTTTAAACTTCCTATTTGATTTTTAAATGTTATTTAAATTTTCTTCCATTAGCCTTGAGTCAACTGCAAAAAGCAGGGCAGCTGCCAAAGGTCATGCATTATTTCTACTGGAGGGACACAGAGTTGAGCTCTAATTAACTGAAATGAAGATACAGGCCTGGAAGTGAAGGTGTTCTGAATTCTAAGCCCAGTTTTTGCTCCATACCACTAGGACAGATGATGGGTTGGGTATGTCCTGAGATACCCTGTACAGGCCTGATTCCCACTATCCTTGCTCAGAGACAAGTCTGGAATATGCCAGGGTGTCTTCTCACCTCTGCTTGTGGGTTTGTGTGGAAAGTGGAGTGGATGCATTAGTGGATAGTCCAACACAGATTTGGGGTTTGGTTACCATATGATGCCAGATCCTACACTTTAGAATTAACCTGTCTTTCTCTTTGCTCCTGGCTGAGCTGGATGCCCAGTTAGGAAGAGAATAGGAATTTATATTCCTACAGCAGACCTCAGCTTCTGATCACACCCAACATATTTAGAATATCATGCCATTTTAAACACCCAACTTCAGACATCCAGCTTGAAATCAGGAACTGAGTTCCCCTCATTTATGGGGGAAACAACACCTATCCAGCTCAAAAGGTTATTTTTATTAATGTTTTACCATACACTCAGATGCAAAGCATTATTAGGCTTAGTATGAAAACATTCTATTTACACTTTGTTAAGTAAATGCAATAATTTTATTTTCTTATTAAATCTGTGTTGTTGAGCCTGATCTGATTAAGACTAACTGATAAATTTTCAAAATAATGCACTGGTGACTGGGACAGTAAGATTTTCCAGGTATAATGTGTATGATATGTATGCTGTGTATGTTTTTCAGAACTGGTGGCAGCGCAAAGCCATGCAAAACAAACCAACACAGAACAAAATACATGAGGGCAGCATTAGGTCTAAACATTTCTGGGTAGCACAATAACCCTCCTCCTGTTATTCAGTGGTATGATTTACCTATCAAATGGGGGGGAAAAAACAGTAATCAGATAATATCCCATACCTACTGACAACTTTTACAGTACATCTTGTTTCAGCTACAGCTGATGTAAAGTTAGATTTATTTCCTCTCTGATTAACCTGTTTCTAAGAAATAACCCAAGAAATTATACGAAATAATGTTTGGTTTTGCTTATTTTTTCATTTTTGAGGAGCCAGTTTCTGAGATTATTCACTTCTTCCTTGTTATCTGCTCCTTGTATTTAGGGCAAGAGAGAATATTATATTCTGTTGCTAGTCTGAGTAATTTTAATTTGAAGTATTTAAAAGAAAAGCTAAACAAGCTTAGAAAGAAATGACTGCTGAGTTTACACAACAGACTTAATCATAATATTAGATGTAAAAAAAAGAAAGTTTGACAGAAAAATTATGTAATTTTCTCCGTACTTGTACTTTACTTGGCAGCAATCTCCTGGACATAATCCAGTTCATAAATGTAGGTTAAGCAAAGTAAATATATACTTACCTATTAGCCAGGGAAACCAATATTTGGACATCCTCCCATCTGTAGGCATGTCCCAGGGATGCACAAAGAGACAGCAATTTAATTTCTCAGCAGCCTGCAGCAAAAAGAAAAAGTCTGAATCTTGACTGATCATAGCAAAATGCATCTTAGATCTTAGTCAGGCTTTTCAATGACCTGCAAATCTGTACTGAACAGTAGTACTAGTGATGAAAATAGGCCCACAGCTATAAGCTATATTGTTGGCTATATTTACTCCTCTGAGCCATGTTCTGAAGTCTCCACTCAGTTTCACAGTTCTTCCTGTGACTACAGAACTGGAAGCATAGATGATAACATCTCTTTGGTGAACCAAGTGTTTCTCAGAATAATGCAGTATAAAAATGCTTTTCCAGCTATGCTTTTCAGCCATCCTGTAGTATAACATCAGTTCAAGAAAACATTCTTTTGGCTTCATTACACATATGAGAATGAATTCCTATATTGTCCTATCAAGTTATTTGAAGATGGTTTTGCAGCATTGTTCCAGCTGCATTCAGAAATTTTCATTGAGTTGCACTCCATTTGTCCCCTTTGGCCCTCTGCCTGGTTTTAAAAAAATTAAAAATATTCCTAATCCTTCCTCAGAGTTCAAAATCTGGCTATATTCTGATCAATAATCCATCTCTACTCAAGCATGGTAATTTTTCCAAAACTACTGACATAATTGGAAAGGAAAACAGAAGACTAGTGTTGGATGCTGACTCTGACTGTAACTCAACTGTATGCTAAAATTTGAATACACAGTCATCAGAGTCATTCATATGCTTAACCAGGATTTAACAGCTCGTTTTGTCAGATGTATTTCTGGACATGTTCTTGTTGCTAAGGAGATTATCACACATTTGAAAAAATTTGGTTTATTTACCCATACATGCATAAATAAAAGCTGCAACTTTTGGATTGTGGAGAATAATTGCCATCTACATTTGTAAACTAAAAATATCAATTCAATAACTGGCCTGGTAGTTTGGCAAAGTTCATTATCCAATATGGCTTAATTTCATAACCTGTATTATCCAGAGATGTTTCTAAAAATGAAAGGGGTTACTTTCCTGCATGTGTGAAACATAAGCTGAAGGATGTACAGTATACAGAGAGATCCCAGAACAAGAGAGGGATCTCAGCAGCAGAGACATGGAGTTACTGGAGAGAGTTCATCTCTCCTGTGAGGAAATGATGAGAGAATTGGGACTGTTTGTCCCCTAGAAGAAAGGGTTCAGTGGAGATCAGGAAATTTCAGGTTGTCCAGAGGGATTGTGGAGTTTCCATCCTTGGAGATATTTAAAAGCCTGGGATCTGGCTGTAGGTGGCCCTGCTAGAGCAGGGGGTTAGTCCAGGTGACCCTAGAGGCCCCTCCCAACCTCAGCCACGCTGTGATTCCATAAATGTGGGTATCTCCAAGAGCAGAGGTTGATATCTGACTGGATATAGCCATAAAAACAAGTAGTCCAGATGCTGCACCAACAGAGTTTTTGAATAAATTGAGCATACTGCAAAACAACCTTGGTGGATCAATTCCAGGCTGAGAGCTCTAATAACTTGAGAAACAAATTCAGAATGGACATTGATTAAACCCCTAATTTAGACAAATGACCACCCTTATCTGGACCTCAGGCTATTTAAGAAATGCTATCTATTAATTAATTTGATAATCAGTACATTCAGTTTGGAAACTTTGGTCCTGTTTACATAGTTCTGTGTGGTACTTTGGTGCTATAGGTATCTCTGACAATCTTAGGGGGGTTTATCAGCTATTTCAGTAGGACTGGATACAGTAACTTGAACTCAAATGCAAACAGTGCAGAAGTGCTTTATTGATGTTGCACTTATCCTCACAAATCAAGAAGGCAGATCCACGGTGAGAGCTCATATAATACAACAAAATTTGTTATTCATTATTATAAAATATATTTCAGAATATGTTGTATCATTGCCATAATATCTTATAAAGAATTATGATGTACAATTAAAGCTGAGTCTCTCTGATCACTAAGCAGATTAGAAGGCTGAAATGACGACTCAATGTGCTTCAAGATATTTTTAGACAGATTTCTATATCACAGAATTCCCCCAAAGAAGGAAAGCAACAGCTACTCACAGCATAAACATGGTACAGCTCTGGGGCATTCAGGTCCCAGTCATTGACATGAGATCCAATCTGCACTCCAGGAAATCCAAGTTCATTCACACAGCGATGCATTTCCTTCACAGCCAGCTCTGGAGCTTGCAGAGGTAACGTGCCCAGCCCAATAAACCTCTTGGGGTACTTCTTTACTGTAGCAGCTAAGTCATTATTTAATATCTGGGCAAGATCTAAAGTATCCTGAGGTTTGGCCTGGTAAGATAGGAAGCATAGCAGTATATTTAAATATAGTTCTCAAATGTTATCACCTTTGAAAGTTACTGGATAAATGTCATTGCAAACAACTGGCAGGGTTTGAATCCAAATTTGCTTTACAGTTCTGAATAACTGGAAACCAGTGGGGCTAAATTCTGCCTCACTTTAAAACCTCTGGGTGCAGTTCTGCTTTTTCTCTTGAATATTTTATCAACTGCTGTTGCCTTTACTGCTCAGGATGAGTGTAATAAAGCCCAGGTTGCTGATGCACATAAGTACCTGGTCTTTTGTGTAAAGCAGTCCCCTGTTTTTTTTTATCCCCATGCAAAAACCTCAGTATACAATTTTTATACATAGCAATGAATATTTACTCTCCTATTACTGGAGCAGAAGAAATAAAAATAAGAAATGGGAGATGCTGGAAAATGCGAATTCTACAGAGAAAGCTGGAGCAAACTTCTCTAACATTTAGAAGGAAATAGCATCCCTAATTCTAATAAGGAAGTGCAATATCCATGCAATCAATCTCTGGGTTTTTTTCCCCCCCAATACATATTTAATGGAAAATATTCTCTTAGATACAAGAATAAAATTTTGAAGAGATGTTACTAACTAGAAATTCTGAATATCAGTGCTATTTCTTATATGTGGGCTTAACACTGATTCTAAATGCACAAATCCATTTACATATAAGCATCCTGACCTATTCATATTGCTAAATAGTCATATTCAGAATGTATTTAGAACAGCATTTTGCGGTGCTTTATCTTATTTCTTTGAAGCACTCAAGATCATCATGTGAGGAACATAGGAACTTAAATTTGCTCCTGAATTTTAAGATTCAAAGCATTCCAGGTTAATGAGTCCCATGCCACATTTAAAAGGAAGTGGGACAAGACCACAAATATATCCTTTATGTCTATTTTTTTTTCCCCTGAGAAAGTACTAATTGATGTCTAGCTTTCATGGAATGTGTACATATATGTCTACCTGCTAACCATGGATTAATGTTGGATGCTTTCTCTCAATTTCCAGCTGCCCCATAAGGCCCCCAGAAGAAATTCAGTTGCTGTTTTATCTTCTCTCTCTGTGTGTGCTCTGGTGTGGAGCTTTGCCAGCACATCCTGCAGACATCTTCTCATACCTGCACTCCTTTCTTGCCTTTTCATTTTCAGCAGAGCAATTCTAGTGACTGCTTCAATTTGTAGGAAGATGCTTTTGTATTTTAAAAATGTTGTTACTTATGAATTACAAAATATGTGAGTTGGAACCTACCCAGTAGCTGAACATTACAGGGACTGTGGACAGGACTTGGACGGTGACTCCTGAGTAAGAAAAAGCAAATATTAGTGCTTCCTTTTTTGTTGTCTGTTTTTGATAAAATGTTACGAATAAGAAAGTACTTTGGTTTGAGAGGCAGAATGTAAAAGCTTTAATGATAACAAAGACTGATTTAACAGTGACATAGAGAAATTATTTTTTAAAAAAATTAAGGATCATGGCAATAAAACTCATCGTGTATCAATTTATTAGAATTTGGATATTTTTGCTAAGTAGAAAGAAAAAACACTACCACAGTCATACTAGCTAATTTGTGAAATTAGGGTTTTTGATTTTAGAAGGAGTTAGTATGCACATGTACAAACAATTAAAATAGCAATTTAGTATTACTCTCACATGAAAGAAACTGACATTAAACCAACAGAATATAACTCAAGTTTACTTTGGGGTGAATTTGTCATATATAGTAAATAAATAAATGAATTAGCCCAAAGATAAATAGCATTATATTAACAATAGTTGTTAAACAATATTTTCCTAAGTGTTCCTAAAGCCATATTGTGATAGGTTTCATTCATCTTTTGTCTGGACTACTGAGGTTGTAAATATAAAAAAATCTGCCTGTTTTCAGAAGTAACTTTGATGTTAAAAATAAAAAGAATTAAGCCCACGTTGTTTGGTTTCTGCTCAAACACAGATCTGTATTATAATATTGTGGGTGACAGGTTACAGGAGTGGAAACAACAAACCTGGCAGACAAACAAAATAAACAATAAAGAGTAATTAGGACTTCACAAAATAGTTACATGCAAAATTTTTTTGTTTTGGTGCTTTTTTAGGTTTGTTTGTAATATTTTTGCACATATCTTGTCATGCTTAAAAAAATTTAACTTGGTTGTTAGTAGTAAAACTACTAGAACAAAAGATGGCAGAAAGAAACTCCAGGGAAATGAACTCTAGGAGAACTCTAAATGACTTGCCAAAATATTTGAATGATTAAAATGATTTATCCTCCTCCACAGAAGTTTAAGTAGGAAACAAGAGAAGAAGCTGACTCAGATTGCTACAAGATCTGATTAATATTATATAAAGCAGCAATGGTTTAGGGGTAAGGATTAGGTCTGCAAAATTACATAAATACTGAATTATCCAAGTTAGATCATCCACCAATATGGACACTTGATTAGTCTGTTGAGAACATTCTCCATGTTTTCAAAAATAACTATTGTATCTGCTTTCAATCCATTCTTATACTTCTGAGCAAATTTAACATAAACCTTAAGGTTTCCAAGCTGACTGTTGCTAGACATTAGCTTTAGGAAGAAGAATAAGCACAGAAAAGCCTCTACTTTTTTACCCTCTTCAGAGGGTTTTACAAAGGAGAAAATAACAAGGAAAGGAAGTTAGGATGAACTGATATATTTCCTCAAACAAAATTGTGATGATTTATGTCACGGAACTGTGATGTTAATTACTTTTACAGCGTGTTTTATTGAGTTACATGGATAGCTTGCTTTATTGAGTGGATCAAGACAGAAGTATGCACATCAATTAAACCTAGGACATATGGTTGGGAGAACTAATTGAGTCTCTTTGGTCCACTGGAGACTATTTCTTAATATTGGCAAGATTTCTTGGGCATTGCACAAACAAAGCCTTTTAGCAACCAAACTCTAAGTTATCCCTCAGAGTAAAAAATACCTTTCAATGACTGATTTTAATTTTGTTCAGCTGGGAGACTCCTTGTATCCTTGTCCCAATATTATGCCATGTTTGGAGGTTAAATTTTGGGTATGATCTATCTCAGCCTGTGTAAGAGAAAGCAGTCTTTGAACTAAGTAGTTACAGCTTTCTAAACTGAAAAGGAATAAATGTGGTCCACAGTCTTTATCATTAGCTGAAAGATGAAAGAATGAAAAACACTAAGGCCTTTTTCCCTCCCGCTACATAATTAATTGACTAATGCCTGTATGTCTGGAGTGCTGTAATAAAAAGGGACATTTTTAGGGCACAAGTCACCAGATGGTGCTGTAACATACAGGTTTAGATAATTTTTTAACCAAGCGAGCATTGTTTAGTCCACGAAGGAATCTTGTGATGCTGCTTTCATGATACATTTTATTTTCTGGAGAGCTGCTGCAAAAATTTGGAAAACAAATCCTCCTGTGTTTTCCCTCCGTTTACAACAAATATAGGGGGCAGAACTGTTTTGTAGAAACTTGTCATTAGTGCTGAGGGAAATATCTGAAAGAGAAAGATGCCCAAAGGCTATTTATGATCCACTGTGTAGTTGAGTGATTTGGTAATCCCCAAAATCTCTGAGCTAACTCAGAGAAATATTCCAGTCTAGTCAAGGCATGATTCTATGATTCTGTGACAAGGCAGCATATTTCAGAGTTTGCAGTCTTTCTGGCATTCCTATTAAATGTTTAATGGTTATAGTTTCAAATACTGCTTTTCCAGGGTGAAAATGAAGTAGATGAAAATTGTCTAAATTGTGTTTACATAAATTCCCCACTACCTGGTGAGTTCCCAAGCTAGCCTTATGTGTTGCACTAAACCTCCCTTAGAAAAATAACCCAGGCTATCTCCTAACACAGAATCACAAAATAATTTAGGTTGGAAAAGACCTCTAAGATCATTGATACCAACCATGAATCCAGTTCTGCCAAGCCCACAACTGAACCATGTCCCCAAGCACCACATCTACACATCCTTTAAATCCCTCCAGGGATGGAACTACACCAGGGCTGTTCTAGGGCTTGACAACACTTCTAGTGAAGAAATTTTTGCTAATATCCAATCTAAACCTTCCCTGATGCAATTTCAGGCAGTTTCTTCTTGTTTATTATTTGTCATCTTGGAGAAGAGACCAACTCTCCACTTGCTACAACCTCTCTCATCTGCTTGTCAAGGGAGATAAGGCCTGAGAGGAGGAAGCAATAATCATAAAGATGCTACTTGTACAATATCTGCTCTTTTAAGCAAATCAGGTGTTTGTTCCTTATGAAAAGTTGAAGATATTCAGGTTATGTCTACTGGGAAACTGGTATAAGAATTTTTCAGGCCTCAATCTAAGAAAAATAATCTTTAGTAACATAATATTTCTCTAACAAGAGTAACTTGGAATTACAGTGTTAATAAGAACTAGCAAAAATAATTTATCAGCCTAGAAATTCCTTCCCTCATCCTCAGTCTCCCATCTTACCAACCTTATTTAATGGTTAGCATGTAACATGATAGAAAATAAATTTGTAAATTTGGCATCTGGTTAAATTTCTAAATAAGGAAAACCCTTTCTGACAAAGTAATTGTACCAGTTCTCTAGGCTCAGAGTCCTACAGTAAAAACACAGAATGAGGCCGCAACAGGGCTAAACAGAGAAAAGGTATTAGAAAAGGAAACAGACATACAATAAATCCTATGTGTAAAAAAAAAATTGTTAATATTTGGAACAAAAATGAAAGGCCTTCCTCCTCCTTTGTGAGTCATGTTTTAACTGGAATGTATGGTGCCATTTCAAGTCCAGGGTCACTCATCCTTACTTTTGTCGGTGAGTTCCTTGGTATCTTAAATCCCACCAAAATTAATAAATTCTAGTGCAGGGAATAAATTTCTGAGAATGAGGAAAGTTATGGGTACAGATTCCTTCTGAGTATGAATATCAGTTTCCAATTACTTTCAACAGATTTAAACCAAGTAATTAGTATGCTAAACCTTTTTTTTTTATATTGTTGAACACTTTCAGATGGACTGACAGAGAAGTTGTTATTCTAAATGAAGCACAATGATTTGAGTTCCTTTGTGGAGGTACCTGACTGGTCCATCTCTTTAATCCGTACTTCTGGATCCCAGCAGTTCTCTTGAATAACTCTAAAAACCTTTCCATCCTTCATCATCTTTGCCTGTCCCTGTGAAATGACATTTTCATATATTATAAATGTGACAAAGTAGGACCTGCTAATTTATAGTCTCTTGATATATTGTGCTCCTTACAGAAATTCAGTGGCAAAATTTTTCTTTTATTTCTATTCAGTAGGTATTTTTAAACAGAAACTATTTTAAAAATAGATATGAATAAAACAGTAATCTGTAGTTCAGATTTAATTCTTCAGAATAATAAAAAAATTCCCTTCGTTTTGCAAGGTACATCACTCTATATTTATTTGGAAAAGATATCAGGTACCTTAATCCAAGTTTATCCTCAGACCAAATTTTGACCTCAAAACAATGCTCTAATTAAATCTGTGCTAAATTTTCCCTTTGGGTATGTGTGTGTTCTTTTAAAGTCAATAGCATCACAATGATTCCAGTAACTACAGAAATAATTGTGCAACACAGTTAATTTCAGTCCAATGATTTCTTATCACCAGTGATACTGAGACAAAAGGAGACCTATTGTGTTGTCTTCAGATTACATTTTCTCCTTGGGAAGAAAAAAAAAAATTGAAGAATTTGGAAAAAAAATCTCAAACAAAACTTATACACAGTATAAACCCATGACCTGAATTAGTGCAAAACCTTTCTCATATGCCACCAATTTCCAGACACAGGAAGTTCAAAATGTTATCACAGTCATGAAATTTAATACTGTTCCTTTATCAGCATGTAAGCTTTTAAAATGTCATATTTGGTTGATTTGTGAATTGTTCCAAGAGAGAAAGTGCCACCACATTAAGCAAATTGCCTGTTAGAATTAGGGGTGCCCACCAGCTGCTATAGACACAATGGGATTTCTGCTCGCACAAAGGGATGAGGTACAATTCACCCACACCTGCAAGCCCTGAGTATTTCTTGGTTGTTTTAATCTACTGCAGGGCTAAATGGAAAGTCAGAGGATCCCCTGGTGCTGGGCACGTGGGGTGGGTCAGTGCAGTCATGCAGCAGAGGCACCGGGCAGAGAACGCTCTCCATCTGCAGGTAAAAGCTGAAAGCCACACAAGAAAACCCAGCAGCTATTCCTCCACCTTCCCACTAAACAGGAGCTGAGGGCAAGGCAGTCTTTGGGCCCCCCCAGAAAGGGATTTCTCTCTCTCTCCAAAGGCCACTTTATTTTTCCTCACAAAATTGGTCTTATTTATGGTCCTGTCAATTTTTCTAAAGAAAAGGATTTGTTAAATCTGAATATTTACTACTAGTGTGCTCAGCCAGGGGGGTTCTGTCCCCCACTTCTGAGAACTCAAACTGTCCTTAACCTTGAATTTGTTACTAACTTCATACATCATTCACAAATATACTGTCCTAAGGAATATTTTAAAGCCATCCTCAGCAAATCTAAGTGTGCTGCCTTGGCAACCTATCATGTTACTTGTTAGCTGTATCACAGGTTGTGAAAATTACTTGAAATTTTACAACTACAGGGTCCCGATCCCCTGATGAAATACTTCAGGTTCTTGCAAAACTGGTTTTCCAACCTGATGGAAAGGTTTACTGTAGCTATACACTCAAATACATTAAGAAAAGCTTAGTGCATTGATACAGGTTGTCCAATAAACAAAAAAATATTTGGGGTGTAGGAAAAATGCAGATTAGAACCGAGCACTTCATCACATATGAACAGATCACATGGACTTGTTCCATTCTGTTCTATACTTCTCTACTCCATTCCATCCTAAAATGATCTAATATTTGTTTTGATTAATGTATGTGGAAATTAAGAGAGAGACATTTAAAAATTAAGTCCTGCAGGCTGATTTGATTCATCAAACTAGATTTAAAATTCTCCCCTCACTAAACTACTCAGTCACATCCCGAATTGCACTTTTAAAATATGCAAGTGATTATTTTCTTCCAGTTTGACACTGGTGCTTCTTCAGAGATTGGAATGGGAGGCCTTTGGGGTTTCTTTAAATCCTAGGAGTTAACATCCCCAGTTCCACATGTCTGAACAGGATTTTATTTTGCCATACACTTGTTGTCATGCAGAATTTCCAGACAGAAGTAGGCCGGATGGAATTCTCAGTGGAGCATGTAAGGCCATTATTGACTTGCCACAAAGTTCCTCTGCAAACTATTTTTAGCACAGAATTTTAGCATCAGACCTGTAACAAAATCACCAGAAATGTGTCTAATCCCTGTCTCCTTCCTGCAGCTGCCAAGTATCCCAAAAGCTGTGCCATGCACACACTGGTTCCCCAGGTGGCTTGTTCTTGTTTATTAAAATATTAGTTCCTTTTGGGTTAGCTTCTCATACAGATGACTGCATCTAACTCAACCCAAATCTGTATGTAATCTGCTTTAGTCTGACCTATCTTGTTGGAAAAATTTTCTCAGAGTTATCCATTCCAAGGGTTAAAATGAGATGATAAAGAAGAATGGATGCTGGTTCATACAAGGGAGTGTGAGTTTCATCTTTCAGGCAAAATGTTTTGCTGAGGTATATTAGGACTTAGCCTGATAGGAGTAGACATCTAGAGAAATCTGTATCAGAGCCAATCTTATTGCCATTTTGCTTCTCAATAGATCTCCTGAGAGTTTCTATTCCTGATGATTACACAAGATCAGCTCTGAGCACCAAACAGCCCAAACCTTGCAGTGATGATCCAGCTGTACCCATCCACCATATCCATATCTCTGTGAAGGAAAGAAGAGAAAGCCAGGGCTAGTTAGCTCTCTGCAGTAGTAACAATAATAACAATAACTGTAATAATAACAATAATAATAATTAAGTTCTTACAAAAATACTTCATTCAGAAGAAACACTTACATATGCTCAGCTTTGAGCCAGAGTAGCCCCACTGACTTCATCAGAAGTGCCGAAGTGTAGCTGGACTGGACTAACGATGTTTGTAAAGCTGGAATTGTAGTTTCCCGTTCAACAACATTTTTAAACAACTGCTTTAAAAATGCTTGAAGTTGCTTACTACATTGAGGTTCTAACTGAAATAATTCTGACACTGAAAATATTAAATTAAGCATCTGGCAGTGTGAAAATTGAGCTGACGAATTTCCAATCTGTGACCAGTTAATCATTAGCACAAAGATGCATTGATTCCTCTTTTCAGCTTCCATGACTCAGCAGCAGGAGTGAAGGTCAGCCTCTTGTCTATTAATATTTAAACAGGGAAGAGAAGCTAAAAAGGGAAAGCTTAGATGCTCATTGATTCTTTCAGAGAGATTCAGAATTGTTTATGCAAAAAACGCAAAACCTACATAAGGTGCTGATTTCCTTTTACTTTCATAAATTATCAACTAGAAAGTTGTGAACTCTTGAAATCTCTGAGTGAAAGCAATGCTCATAATTCCTATTTCTCCAAAAAATGAGACTAAGCAAGAGCAAGCATTTGTTTTGCTGAAGTGTCAACAATTTGGACACAGTCCTGAATTTCCTGTGATACCAAATCATCACTTAGTGCCAATGTGAGCTTTCCTAATGTGGGTGTGAAGAGCCAAACCTCCTGACCTTAGCCAGAGATGCAATCACAGAGGCTGTGTGCTCTGTTTAACTACACAACTATGTAGATTTCATTTAAATTTATGCATTTGTGGGTTTATACACATATAAAAATACTGAAAATTTGGAAAAATTTAATAAGTGACAACTAAAGAGAACTCTAAACTAGATCCATGATAATTGCAATTGTAAGCTGAGCAGAAAACAAATACCTGAAAGGGGTACTGAAGGAGCCCATAGGCAACAGATAAACTCACTGGTCTGACTTTGAACTTATTTTATTCCTTCTTCCCCTCAGGTATTAGTTGTAGGTATTGACAGTCCATATCTGCTTTTTCTGTTATTTTTCTATACTTGTGATATTTTCCTAAGCTGTTAAATCAATATCTTGACAATAAAATTTTCTAGTTTGATGGTCCAGTATTTACAAAGCTGGAAACAAGAGAGAGAAGTTTAGCACTAAATACATGTGTGCATGTTAAGATGCCTCATTGGTTTTCTTTGCATGATCTGTGTTAATGGCTTGAATTTCCAGAGGACTCCAGGGAATTCTGAGAGTTGTTTTCTATGCTGAACCCATTAATAAACCATTGAATTGCTCAGAATAGAGGGAAAAAACCTAGCAGGTGGAAATTAAATTTTAAAAATTTGGTATTTGCCTCTTTATCTCTGTTTAAAGAAATGCAATTCTGGCCCACAGTGTCTAACATTAGTGAATTTAGTCTTGATGTACATCAAGGAATTGGGGTCATTTTATCTCAGTGAATTGATTGTCTGTTTTAAGTGCTTACAGACAAATGTTGCCCTGATTTTTAAAAGTGTTTTGTTTTATAGTTCTTTTGAAAGTCTTAAAGTTCTCATAAAACTTCTTCAGCCTTCTGATCTGTTTATGTATTTCCACTGGAGCTCTCATGCACTGTTCATGTAAATAATGATTGGTTTGCATTCTTCTTTGTGAGAGGAGAGAATTGATGGACTGTTGGTTTGACCAGTGTGGCCGGAGAGGTGGTAATTCCATCCTCCAATCCATGGTCACCTCTGGAATTCTATAAATATCAGATGCTTGAATAAAACGCTCTCCTTTTTGGCCTTTGAACTTACCAAGTGTTTGTGTACTTACTTTGTGTCCAAAAGTGACAGACAAAAATATTTAATTAAAAAAAACCCAACCTATATAACATCAGAATTAATTTTATAGGTGTTTTTATGAAGTTTTTGCACAAAGACAACAAAATCTGGAACGTGCAAAAGCAACTTGTCTTTCTAGTACAGCTATTTAAACTCCTATCCATTTAAAACAGACCTAATTATTCTAAAAGTATCTGTATCCTCACCTACATCATCCAGTGTATATGTTTTTCATCAGGAGCTGTTTTTTATTACAAATAGGGTGTTCAAATAGATATTTATAAAAGCCTTCCTATCTAAACAAGGAAAAAACCATTCTTTCCCAGGAGGTTTTATGCGTAATGATGTTATTTTTCACAACTAATGAAGAAATAATCCTATGTATGTTTTCAATGCCAGGTTTTCTCATTACTTTTTCTTCTAATATGCTATTTACATTTCCCAGCTGCTCTCTCTCTAATATTTACTGAAACTGGACTGCTTAAAATCACAGAAACCCAGACCTAATAGTTGTGGAGTCCCTTCAGATTGATTACATCGAAACCTAAATGACATTCTTCATTCTAAAATACATTTCACAGGAACATGAAACATATTGTAGACAAGAATACAACAATAGCAACAACAAGAACAACAAAAACAAGAAGAAGATAACAGAAATTCACTTATAGCTTCAGTGTTTTGACAACTGAGATTTTCTATTTTAAATACAACAGGCTAATTCTTTCCAATAACTGAAAAAATAACAGATATTAGTAAAATTATCATCATCAATTAACTACTTAGAGTGACCCCACTCCCATTGATGTTAATGATTTCATGCCTGTGGGTATAATGATGTGGATGAATTTGTCTTATTTTTGACATTAATTTTGTCTAATATTTGATTATTTATTTTATTTAAAACAAAAGTGAATACCACTTAGGAATGGAACAGAACAGCTCTATTTTTATGAAGAAAGTGGAATTTATACCTTATTATCCAAAAATTTTGTGCCTCAAAAAACTCAAGGAAAACTTTAAGAATTGCGTCAATATAAATAAAAAATGGGGAACAGAGCTCAGTTTTACATCCCATTCTGACTGGACTCTTGCTTTTCAAAGCAGTGCAATATAAATATTTTACAGTAGGAAAAAAAATCCCAAATTAGACAAAAACCTAGAGATATTTACCCCAGAACCCTTCCTTCATTCTTCTTTCAAAAATCACATTGGTAGAAATGGTTGTTGATCACATAAGGCACTGAATATCTAAACTCTTATTACCTTTTTCAGGTCAGGCCATTCCTTAGGTAGAATGTGGCTATGAATATCAATTTTCATTTTTGAAGTGCCAGAGGAGAAATACTCCTTCAATGCTAATGTTTTGTGTGTGAGTGCTGCTATCCCTGCTGTCCCTGGGTCACAGGTTATTCACTTTGGCTGCTGTCCAGATCCACCTGCTCTCCTATCAGGAGAATGGGATACAGTGGCCAACCAGAGAGCCTAATTCCAGAGGAGTGGCTCTCCAAAAGAACAAAGAGTTGGAGCAGGAAGTCCCGAGGGCAAAGGGAAAATACTTGTTTATATCGGCACTATGAAGGGATTTATTTTACACAGACTCTAAATGACAAAAATAATTCAATAAAATTGAGTTAGTATAAATGTATCAAGCATGCTGACTTGAATTTCTTCCTTTCTCCCTCTTAGGTTGTGAAATTATTTGTAGAGTGCATATAATATACCCTTGGAAGAGTCAGACATCCTCATCTATTCTCTATTTTTCTCTTGCATTTTCTTTAAAGTTATATTAAAGCCCCTCCAAAATACTGAATTCTAGGTAAATCTACACTCTGCATTTTATATTCCCCCTCCTCATCATTGGTTCACTCAGGATATTTACACAAGCTACTGCATAATGGTGCTTACAGCCTCTCAAGATGCCTCAATTATACAGTAATACATAGATGTATTTCAAATATAACAGCTTCTGCATCCTAAGTTAAGCTTAACTGGAGCTATTTCAGATTTCCTGTGAAACTACATCTCATCTTTTGCCCTTTACTCAATTTAGAATTACACTTTGCTTAAGATACCCTTGCTCTTTATTTGTGCCATATTTTTGTCTGTAATTTATTCCCCCTGTAGTTTTATTTCAGTATATGTTACTCACACAACAACATCCTCATGTGTTTGTTAACCATTCCCTGATTAGTTTTTTTTAGTACAAAATGCTCATTTTTTTTCCCCCAAACACTGTTGTGAATCTTGCAACTTGAAATCAAGCATCTTGAAAAAAAAAGCATATTGGCCCATTTTATTTTATCATTTTCCTGACTTGTCTATTTGATTTGGTCTTGAAAAAAACCCCAGACTCTTGTATTTCCCTACTTGTTCACTCATTAAGCAAGTCTGCTTTTGATTTGGTCAGGTAACTTTCACAGGAGTTATTTTTCATGTCAACTTCTTGTGACAGGGTTGGTTGGTTGGTTGGTTGATCTTTTACTTCTCTGCAGCGAGACGTCACTGAAGACTGAATGTTCCAAAAAAAATAGGAAGCAGCAGTTTTGGAAAAGTATTCCCTAAATATTCCCTAAATGTTCCCTAAAAGCCAACAATTTGCTTTAACAGATCAAAACCCTGGGATTGAAAATAGCAATTATTTCTGTCTCAAAACCAAACTCAATCTCTTCACGACCAGGCTGCCAGGAGAGAGAGCAAAGTTGCTCTCCTGCTCCCAGGTGAGACAGCCACGCTGTGTGGTGTGGCACTGCAGTGTCAGCCTGGTGACAGCAGTGTTCCTGCATGGACTGCAGCTGTCAGAAGAAAGAAATATTGATTCAGCTCTGGGAGCTCTGCATCCTGAATCCACAGCTGGGAGGCAAACACTTAGAGTGAGCCCTCCAATGAAGAGATGTCTGGAAGACAATTCCCTACTTAAGCACAGAAAGCAGAGTGAAGTGAGGGAGAGGGGCAGGGAGAGATTTGTGCACCTGAATATTCTAAGGCACCAAGAGTCTTCAGTCACCAAAGCTGCAGGACTGCATGTAGAGCTCAGCTGCATTTCTTCAACACTGAGCTTCATTTTCCTCTGCTCTAAAAAAAGCTGTAGTTGTTAGTTACTGCTCCCAAGACACAGCTTAGCTTGCAAACACTGTAGTACTCCCACGCTGCATTCCATTTGTCAAAACACATCATTTGGAAACCACACCAGTTGAAGGCAAAATGCCACTTGATCAGAGGGCAGTGAGACACCTCTCTGTATCCAGCATGATCCATTGGGTCACCAGCAGAAAGACCTTCACTGGTTGGGAACAGAAAGCTCTTCAGATAGGCAGGCACCCAATGTACTCTAAAGTGGAAAACATGACTAACAACTCCTTCAAGGACAACCTAGCTAGAGACAGTTCAGCCAAGGCTGATTTCAGATACACACACAGAAGCCTAGAAGATCTACAGGGTTTTATTTCACTGTAGGGACAAACACTGAAGTGAAAATGGTGTTAATTGTAGGGCAGTAAGTGCTCTTTTCCAAAGCTATTTAGCTGCTTTTCTGAAAAAAGTGCAGAATCTGAGATTTGGAGTCTTCAGGATGGAAATTCAGTGTTATGCTCTGGCTTTGCTTATCAGGTTTCTTTGTGTCAGTGGGAAAACCCTGACATCTTCAAAAGAGTCTGCATCAACAAACACAGGTAAGCTCTGCAGAGAGCTCTGCCATATCCATGCTCCAAGGCAGCC